CCCTCTAGTTCCATCCACGTCTTACATATATTTTCATTTTCATTCAGTTCAAGATATTTTCTAATTTCCCTTTTGTTTTCTCCTTTACCTAATGGATTATATAAAAATGTCCTGTTTGTGACAGTGACAAACTCCCTTAGTTTTTGTTGATCTGAAAAAGTATTATGACTTCAACTTTGAAAGATATTTTTGATGGATGAGGTATTCTCATAATTTTTTTGGATTGATACTTTTTTCCAATGCTTTAAAGATACTTCTTCATAGTTTTCTCACTTTCATAGTCTTTTTTTTTTTTTAAGATTTTATTTATTTATTCATGAGACGCAGAGACACAGGCAGAGGGAGAAGCAGGCTTCCTGCAGGGAGCCTGATGCAGGACTCAATTTCAGGACTCTGGGATCATGACCTTAGCCAAAGGCAGATGCTTAACGACTGAACCACCAAAGTGCCCCCTGACTTTCATAGTTTCTGATGAGAAATATGTTTTGATTCTTTCTATATAATGTGTTCTCTTTCTCTGTCTGCCTTTTTTTTTTTTTCAAGAGAGAGAGAGGTGGTGGGGAGTGGAGAGGGAGAGAGAAACTTAAGCAGACTCCTCACTGAGCATGGAGCCCCACTCTGGGCTCCATCTCACTCTGGGCTCAATCCCACGACCCCAAGATCATGTCCTAAGCTGAAGCCAAGGATCTGGCACTTAATTGTGCCACCCAGGCACTCCTCTGTCTGCTTTTAAGATGTTCTCTCGGGCAGCCTGGGTGGCTCAGCGGTTTAGTGCTGCCTTCAGCCCAGGGTGTGATTCTGGAGACCTGGGATTGAGTCCCGCAGTCAGGCTCCCTGCATGGAGCCTGCTTCTCCCCCTGCCTGTGTCTCTGACTCTCTCTTTGTCTCTCATGAATAAATAAATAAAATCTTTTTTAAAAATGTTCTTTCTATCATTGACGTTCAACAATTTGATGATGATGTGCCTTGTAATGTTTTTCTTTATATATGTTCTGCTTGTAATTCTTTGAGCTTCTTGGATCTGTTTAGTTTTTCATCAAATTTGGAAAATATTTTGGCCATTTTTCTTTAAAACTTCTTTGGTGCCTGCCTGTTTCTAGATTCCACTTATACGTATGTAGACCATTTCATATTATCCCACAGGTAATTGATGCTCTATTTATTTTGTTTTCTCTTTGTGCTTCTGTTATAGTTTCTATTGCTATTTCTTCAAATTCACTGATGTTATCTTCTGTAGTATCTGGTCTGCTTTAAATCCTATACAGTGTGTTTTTAAATTTCAGGTATATTTTCATTTTGAGAATTTCTATTTGGACCTTTTATATATTTTTTCCTTTCTCTCTTTATCATGTCCATGTTTTCCTTTACTTTTGTGAATATATATTTTATATCTATAAGGTCTGTTTTAAATAGTTTGTCTGCTAGCTTCATCATATCTATTATTTCTAGATTTGTTTGTTGATTGAGTTTTCTATTTTTCTCCTTACTGTGGATCATGTCCTCTTGTTTCTTTGCATGTTTCATGATTTTTAATCATATGACAGATATTGTGAATTTTACATTCTTGGTTGCTGGATTCGTCGAATTTCTTTAAACAGTGGATAGGTAAGTACTTGAAACTGGATCCTTTTAATATTTTAAGATTACCAAGGTAGATGAAGAACAGCCTTTAGTCTTGGATGATTTTAATCCCATAATTAAGGCAATAATTTTCTGAGAATTCTATTTGATTGCCCTGTGTAATATAAGATCTTTCCACTTTGGCTTATGGAATCATAAATACTTTATTCCCAGTCCTGTGTAAGGTCTAGGAATTACTTTGTTTTTCCTAGAATCTACTCCATAGGTCATTTCCTTGGACCCAGTTGTATTCTTTTGCTGCATGCACAGCCAAAAGCAAAGTCAAAGACTTCCAGGTCCCAACCTATCTCTCAGAGTTCTGTCTTCTGTACTACTTTGTCCTGCAAATTCTAGGGACTTTGGCCTCTCTGAACTCTTGTATCTAGCTGTTCAACTCAGCCAAAGATCCAGACTCTGTCTAGGTTGCCCTTTCCTGTGCTATAGCCTTGAAACTGGCAAATTAGTTCAACTGTAAGGTTCAGTTAGTTTTTTCCGTTTCTTCAGGGATCATAGTCCTGCACTGCCTGTTATCCATTGTCTGAAAACTTTTGTTTTATATATTTGTATGGTTTTCTTGTTTTAGAATTGTATTTATTTACTATTTATCCTCTAAATACAATTCTAGCCTCTGCATCCTGGGTAAAGCAGATAACTGGCAGATGAGATTTCTGCAAAATTTTGTAAGATTCAAAATATGGGTTGAAGCTAAGACGACAACTATGCATAGAAATCATGTGCATCTATAAGTATGGATCTATGGCAATGTCTTTTGAAGCTCATAATCTCACAGTTCCAGCTATCAGATGGCTTGGTCTCCTCCCTTCTGATATTAAACGGTTAAATATACCTAGAGATACTTTAATTCCACTGACAAAACGGGACCAAATGAAACTTGACAGTGTCCTAAAAAGACCTTATGTTACTTGCCAACCATTTTGGAGAAAAGAAATGGAAATAATGGCAGACTCTAAAATGAAGGCAGAAATTCAAGCTTTGACCTTCCTATCATCAGATTATCTCTCCAGAGTGTACCTACCTAACAAATTAAAATTTGGAGGATGGATATAAAAATATATCAGAATATATCTTTTGATTTGCAAGAGATTTTTCATTAGTTTTCAGTAGTAGATACTGTTGTGGGAAGAACATATATTCCTGATTCTGTAGAGATAAAATAATTTTCCATTAGTGATCTTTTTTTGTCAAAACAGCTTTCTTTAGAAGCCTTTGTTTTATCCTTCTCTGTAGAGACTTGAGTTGTATCCTATGTTCTAAAGTAAATTATAAAAGAGCCTATGTTACTTTGGCTTTACCACTTTATTTGAAAAACTATTTATACATGCCATCAAAGTCTGCAGGAATATTTTAATTTCTATAATGCAACTAATGTTAAGCCATAAAGCATCTTTTTAGTATCAAAACTAATAATCTAAATTTGAGAGGCTGCAAATGAATTAAAATGTCTAGCATTTCCTTTTTAGTTGCGCTTTTGTGTTTTGCCTTCGTAGTGTAGGGGTCGTACCCCCTTCATTCACTTGTGAAAGTAGTAAAAATTATTATGAATAAATATTTGGGTTGATACAGAAAAAAAAGAAAAAAGAAAAAAATGAGATTGGATAGATTAAATGAGGAAATTGAGATGGAACTGGGACGAATATCGTCTAGAAATCTTGGTCGTGATGACAGAGTTATTGGCAATCACGGAAAAGAAGCAAGATTTCCTTTCCTGGATGAAAATGTCGTCTCCTTTCTAAATTCCCTACCAGTTTGGGAAAAGGCAGACTTGACTTTACCCCATGGAATTGGTGAAAAACTGATTTTGCGTCTTGCAGCAGTGGAACTTGGCTTAACAACCCGTGCTCTTCTGCCAAGACGGGCCATACAGTTTGGATCCAGAATCGCAAAAATGGAAAAGAATAATGAAAAGGCATCTGATAAACGTGGAAGGCTCCAGGTCATTTCCTTAGAAGACCTCTCTATTGAAAAGGAGGTTGAAGTGTAATATTTCACGACGTAACAGCATTTACTGAACGATGATTGTGTAAAAATAAAACACTATGCTGCTTTATTATCACAAAAAAAAAACAAAACAACAACAAAAAAAAAACTCGAAAGCTCAAATCAAATCTCCTCCTCCGGGAGGAGAACTCGCAGCTCCGGGACGCGGTGCAGTGGCTGCCGGCCGAGGTGGGACTTTTTTTTTTTTTTTTTTTTAACTCTTTTATTGAAGTGGGAGACGGACACACACGAACAGCCTTTTTTGATGCGGCCTCCGGGCTCAGCGAGGCGCGGGCTGGGGGCGGCGGAGCAGGCGGGCGGCGGCGAGGCTCGCGGCCGGGCGCGGGGCCTCGGGGCGCGGGGCCTCGGGGCGCGGGGGCGCGGGGCCTCGGGGCGCGGGGCCTCGGGGCGCGGCGCGGGCCGTGCACGGCTGCAGCGGGCGCAGCTCTGCGGGGCTGTAAAGCGAGGGCCCGAGGCCGGAGCCCGCCCCGTCGAGCAAGCGCTGCGCCAGGCTCAGCGCCGCGGCCGCGCGCCGACCCGGCTCGCATCCTGCGGCCTCGGCCTCGGCCTCCAGCAGCCACAGCTCCAGAAAGCAGGTGGCGAGCAGCGTCCCCTGGGGGCGGCTCCCGGCCCGCGCGGCGAGGAGCCCGAGGCCGAGCAGCGGCGCGGGTGGTGCCGCCGGAACTGCAGGCGGCTCAGGACGCTCAGGAGGTCTCGCCCGCGAGAAGGAGCCGGCGCCCAGGAAGCAGAGGGACAAAAGGTGGGTGAATTGTCCGGAGCTCATAAGGAAAAACTTGAAGCCACCATAAATGAATTAATCTGATTACATCTTCTGAAAACATGACCAGCCCATGGCTGTCGAAAACTTGTAATTTTTTTTATTTACAAAAAGGAAAGATCAAGTATGAAGACTATATATATACCCAACCACCATCTGATTATAAGTGACAATAAAATATTAATTCTACCCTTTAAAAAAAAGTGCATAGATTTAAATGATGGATTTTTTTTTTTTTACAGTGATAGCGAATTAGCTTATTTAGTACTTTTTCCAGTCCATATCATCAGGAGGGTTGATTTCAACTTTCCTTTTACCTACATCAGACCAGTTGGTACTCAAAACTGTACCACCAGACTCCATAAATGATTAGTTCATGGCACGTTTCACTTCATCAGAACCACCTGAATAGATCTGCTGAAATAATTTGTTTAAAGCTGCATCTCCCGGGATCCCTGGGTGGCGCAGCGGTTTGGCGCCTGCCTTTGGCCCAGGGCGCGATCCTGGAGACCCGGGATCGGGTCCCACGTCGGGCTCCCGGTGCATGGAGCCTGCTTCTTCTCCCTCTGCCTGTGTCAGTCTCTCTGTGACTGTCATAAATAAATTAAGAAAAAAAAAATAAAGCTGCATCTCCCTCCAACTTCTCATTTTTTTCTTCTTCTTTGACCTCCCCAGCCAATTTATCCCAATTTCTTGTATAATGAGATGACGATGGATATAAGTTCTTTACATCTTGCTATGAACTGTTTTGGTTTAGGCACATCTCCTTGCCCCTCTAGCTTTTCCCATCTCACAGCCTCTGTCTTTTTCATTTTAATTTCAATCTTTGTCGAAAGTACTTTAAATGTGCTCTGTTCTGGTATTATAGGATGAAGAAGTCTCAGTTTCAAATTGTAATCCTCTCCAGAAGGAAGTTTCACCAAAGCAGACAATTCTTTTTCTGAAAATTCCACATTTACATTATTCTTCTGAACATTCTCGATCATAAGTGTAATGATTACTTGAGATTCTGTTTGATACCAGTCATACTTGATTTTTGACTGATGAGTCCTTTGAGAATCAGACACCTCAGACTGTGATCCATTCTGAGCCTCTTGGCACTTTTTGATCCAGACAGTGAAATCAGGATCTGCACTATGGATTTCTATGCCATGAAGATACGCAGTGAAGCCAGGAAACAGCTCCTCGAAGTCTGAATGATTCGTACAAAAATTTCCAAAGGCTCCAGCAACAAGCACTCCGTGGGGGTGAAACCCAAATATATAGTTGTGACTTGGATCCAAATCCCAAGTTTTGATGAGGTGAATTGGAAAATAGTCCTTAAAATACCTCCAAGGGTCCAGCTTCTGACCCAGTTGGATCTCCTGCCTCTCTGCTCTGGGGTCCACCAGTTCAGAATCAAAATGGTGAGTTAAACATTGAAGACTACAAAATAATGCCATCTTTGTGAATAAAAATATGCATAAATTATTTCTACTTATTATGGATACACATATGTGAGAAAATATCACAAATGAACAACTTATGATGATTTATACCAATTCATGACAGAAGGTTACTTTTGGGAAGGGATGGTTAACTTTATAATGTTTTACTTCTTGAAATAAAAAGACTGGAAATAAATCAAATGACATGTAAAATTTGTTGTATTTGGGAGCTGTATTTTAGTTATTTTTTGCCTTTTCTGTTTTTTAAATTTTCTTAAAATTAAAAAATTGTCTTCTAGACCATAAGATCTTTAAGAGCATACAATGTTATTACGATATTACCGACTTTTCCCTATGCTGTACTTTTTATCTTTATGTACCATCTATTGATTTTTGACAAAGATGACAAAATAACATAGAGAGGAAAATTAAACCTTAATAGTCAACGTAATAATATTATTGGCTCAAAGGAATATACTGACGTCAAGTCAAAAGGAAGACAGGAAATGCTGACATGCTGAGTCAAAGATTAAGGTTAACATTTCTGGAGAGCATGGCAGGAGCACATTAGAAAGCACCAGTTAAGATCTAGTCAATCTTGCTTGTTATTGTTGCCATGTTATAAGTGTGTGTTCCTGGTCTTGCTAGTGAGTACTTCTTGCAAATAAAATAAACATTAATATGTTTATATACATAAAAAAAAAGCCACCCTGCCCTCCAGCTCACCCTCTCCTCTCCTGGTGACCCCTAAGCTTCAAAGCCTCTTGCTCCAGCCCTGTGGTTTCCCTAGAAGCCATGGCTTAGAGTGGAGATGTTGCAGAACCCTGGCCCACCGTCAGCCTCCAGGCAAGTCAGCTAGACTCCAAGCACCCAGGTCCTGTGCAGAACCCAGGCCTTCAGGCTCTCTTTGGATGGGATCAAGAGGCCAGGCTGTGTCCTGGCCACCAGGTCCTGCCCATTTCCATGCATCCCCACCATGCTGTCTAAAGAATGTAATTTATTGGGGCACCTCCAAGCTGCTTTCTCTCCTAACTCTCTGCCCTCCCTTAATCACACTCCCAGCTTCTCTTCTCTACAGATACATATGTGTATATAATTATATATATATTTTTTGCCGAGGTCTGGCTTTTGTTTCTGCTCAGGCCCTGGTACCCCTTTCCACTGTGTGTGTGTGTGTGTGTGTGTGTGTGTGTGTGTGTGTGAGATAATGCTATGGGAGGGGGACTCTGCTTGGAATTAAAAGGTTGCATTGGGAAAAAAAAAAAAGAGTGCATAGTAGGAGGACCCTAAACTTCCCTTATCCCCCAAACACAGCTAGATGAATATCAAATTATTCTGAACACCTGAGAAATCAGTCTGAAGACTGAGAGAACAAATTGTATAACTCGGAGAGGAGAGAGGCCACATTGTAGGTAGGAGATGCAAAGGTAGGAGATGCAAATATGTGGTTTTGGGGAGAAGAAAATCACCAGTGCTATGGAAAGGAGGGAGCTCTAATGAGGGAGAGAGGAGAGAAAGAGAGAGAGAGAGAGAAAAAAAAAAACAGTATAGGACATTGTATAAGAAAAATACTTCCCCAAAACCATTGATGGGGAAAATGAGATGGGCTAATTATTGCATGTTTACAAGCACCAGAGTTCAAGGACTAATGTTTTTGAAGTCTGCACTGTTGCTGGGTGGAGTCTGGCAGGTGTAGATGTGCTCCTGTGGAGAAAGACGGCAGAAGTATGGGAGCAGACAGCTTGGTCCGAGGCTCCCTGGGTCACACTGGAAGAGACACTTCCCCTTTTAGGAGTGCATTTAGGAGAGGTGGCACTGCCTTTCTGGGGTCAAAAGAGACAGCAGCTGCCATTGAGCTGCCCCATTCATTAGCATATGAGTAGAGACACCTGCTGAAGGCAGCTAACTGGGAGCCAGCTTTTTGCTGTGCTTTAACATAAATTCCCAAGACCCTGCACGTTTGTGTGACTGCCCTTCTGGAAGAAAACGGCACCAGCATGGCAAGACCGTCGTCCAGAGGATCAGCATGGGTCTGTGCCATGCCAGGTCACTAAAATTTGGAGTTTTGAAACTGAGCCATTGCACTTGAGATACAACGCAGTAGCACTGTACTGCCAGGTGGGCAGACAGCTGGGATACAGACAGGGTGAGGGCAGAGATCTGAGGGATACCTGGAACAAATGAGGGGAGATTATTTGCTTTTCTGGGAGGGCTTCCCAAATAGCAGCAGCACAGCAGTCTCTTCTCCAGGGACAAGATATCTAACTGACACCATTTCCCAGCACCCCACCCCCCAAGCCCATCAGCACAGATAGACTTCAGTGAGCAGCACAGAGCCCACAGTGGAAGCTTGAGCAGTATACACCAGTTCCCACCCTCTTGTGCCCTGCAGGTGCTTCTGAACTAGAGAAGAAGTGTGCCTGAGAGAGCAGCAGCAGTGGGCCCCTCCCCTAGAAGACCAGCACAAGCCCTTCACCCCACATATGCACCAAGTCTACTGACCAAAGAGTGCTACAAAGCTTAAGCTCTACGGAAAATAGGACAACCAAACTAAAACACCTAGTTAAAACTCACCACACAGGAAATGCCTAGGTCACTCAGTTGGTTAAGGGTCAGACTTCACCTCAGGTCATGATCTCAGGGACCTGAGATCAAACCCCTTGTGAGGTGGCCTGCTCAGCAGGGAGTCCTTGTCCCTCTGCACCTCCCCTTGTTCATGCACTTAGTCTTTCTCTCTCAAATAAAATCTTAATGAAAAAAAAAAATCACACCACACACTGGGCAAGATCCAAATACTCACTACCTCACCACTACAGGCAAGGAGAAACTGCAAAGTACTGACCTGAGGGAAAGAGCTCACAGAAGAGTGCACACTGCATACACCAGAAACACTTCTCGAAGTGCCAGGCCCTAGACAGTATATGATCTCTTCTTAATATAGCCATTACTCTCATGCATAGGAAACATAACAGGCTTCCCTAGCACATAGAAGACAGAGACCTACACAAAATGCCAAGATGGAGGAATTCACACCAAAAGAAAAAACAAGAGGAGGCCACAGCCAGGGATCTAATCAAAACAGATATAAGCAATGCCTGAACCAGAATTTAAGACAACAATCAGAAGGATAATAGCTGGGCTTAAGAAAATCATAGAAGACACCAGGGAGTCCCTTACTACAGAGATAAAAGACTTAAAAACTAGTCAGGCCAAAATTTGTAAAACTATAACAGAGATGAGAAACTGATTGGAGGTAATGACCACAAGGCTGGAAGAATCAGAAGAATGAATAAGTGATATAGAAGATAAAATTATGAAAAATAATGAAGCTGTAAAGAGAGAGAAAGACAATATTGGATCACAAATGTAGACTTAGGGAACTCAGTGACTCCATAAAGTATAATAACCTTGAATCATAGGAGTCCCAGGACAAGAAGAGAGGGAAAAGGGGCAAAAGGTTTATTTGAGCAAATTATAGCTGAAAACGTCAGTAATCTGGAGAAGGAAACAGCATCCAAGTCCAGGAGGCACAGAGAATGCCTATTGAAATCAACAAAAGCAGGCCAACATCAAGACATATAGTAAAATTTGCAAAATACAGGGATAAGGAAAGAATGCTGAAAGCAGCAAGGGAAAGGAAAACCGTAACCTACAAGGGAAGACAAATAAGATTCACAGCAGATCCTCTACAGAGAAGTGACAGGCCAGAAAGGAGTGACATGATATACTCGACATGCTGAATGGGAAGAATATGCAGCCAAGAATATTTTATCCAGGAAGGCTGTCATTCAGAATAGAAGAATAGAGTTTCCCAGACAAATAAAAACTAAAGGAGTTTGTGAATGCATTTATAAACCAGCCCTGCAAGAAAATTAAAGGGAGTGGCCTTGAAAGAAAGATCAAAAGCAACCAAGACTAGGAAGGAACAGAGAAAATCTCTAAAAATGCTAACTTTACAGGTAATACAATGGCTCTAAATTCATATCTACCAATAATTACAATGAATGTAAATAGACTAAATGCTCCAATCAAAAGACATAGGGTATCTGAATGGTTTAAAAAAAAAAAAAGGACCCATCTGTATGCTGCATACAAGAGACTCATTTATTTTATTTTTTAAGATTGTTTATTATTTATGATAGACGTAGAGAGAGAAAGAGAGAGAGAGAAACAGGAGGAGGGAGAAGCAGGCTCCATGCTGGGAGCCTGACACGGGACTCGATCTGGGACTCCAGGATCGGGCCCTGGACCAAAGGCAGGCGCCAAACCTCTGAGCCACCCAGGGATCCCTGAGAGGCTCATTTTAGACCTAAAGATACCTGCAGAATGAAAGTGAGGGGATGGAGAAGCATTAGCATGCTAATGGACATCAAGAGAAAGCTGAGTAACCATATTTCTATCAGACAACCTAGATTTTAAACCAAACACTATAACAAGAGATGAAGAAGGGCAGTATATCATAATGAAGGGGTTTATCCAACAAGATGATGTAACGATGTAAATATTTATGCCCCAAGCTTGGGAGGACCTAAATACATAAATCAATTAATAACAAACACAAACAAACTCATTGATAATAATACAAAAATAGTATGGGACCTATCACTCCACTTACATCAATGGACAGATCATCTAAGCAGAAAATCAAAAAGGAAATAATGGCTTTGAATGGCACAGTGAACCAGATGTATTTAGCAGATATATTCAGAACATTTCATCCTTGAGCAGCAGAATACACATTCCTTTCAAGAGCACATAGACTATTCTCCAGAATAGATCACATACTGGGTCACAAATCAGCCCTCAACAAGTACAAGAAGACTGAGATCATACCATGAATATTTTTAGATACCACTGCTATGAAACTTGAAGTCAACCACAAGAAAAAAATTTGGAAAGACCAACCCATGAGGGTTAAAGAACACATGGGGGTTAAAGAACATCCTACTAAAGAATGAATGGGTTAACAGGAACTTAAAGAAAAAATTTAAAATACATGGAAGCAAATGAAAATG